AACCAGCTAATTCTTTATAATCTTAAGTCTTTGGGGTTTTGAGGCTGTTTTAAAAAAGTATTTTCTCCATTGTTTGTATTTGTCCTCAAAGGGACATTTCATCTAGGTTATTTAGTTAGTTGAAGCTAAAGTATCTGGGTTTTTAGGTCTTAAAAATTACTCAGTGTTATTCATATAAAATTGTAGTGAAATCCAGTTTGGCATACGGCTTTTTTGTCTGTGTGAATACTGGTAGTTAAAAGACTGCTCGACACCTATGTTATGTATTTACCTCACACGTTTGAATTCTGATTCTCAGTTTGCATTACTCAATTTTGATTTCTATAGAGAATAGGTGGGACCAAATGTTCTTTTATGTACTTAGGTACATAACTTTTGGGGGGTTGGGTCTTCTTAGTGGGAATGATTTAATTTTTAATCTCAAGGTTCCTTTGAAATGAACCATGCCATTATTGGCAGAAAGTGGGATATTGAAATGCTTTCTGGGTGTTCTTCCAAATCAGCTGTAGAAAATGAAAGAATAACTCATTTTCAGAGGTACTCTGAGCCTCTTTTACCTGTAATGCGACTGAATTAGATCTTTGTATGGCTGGCTCCTTCTTGTTACTGGTATGTTTTACTTCAAATATTCACATTTTTAGAGAGGACTCTGAGAAATCACTCCTTTCTCCCCTCCCTTCTTAACAAGTGTCAGTATCTGATGATAATCTTACTCCCCATCCCCCCACCCCACCCCATGCCCAGCAAAATGTAAAGCCCTGTGAGGTAAAGACCATGTCTATCTTGTTCACCACTGTCTTGTGTGTCCGATTTACCCATTCTCTGAAATGTATTAGGCATTCAGTAATTATTTGTTTAATGAATGAGTGGAATAATATTAATATTTTTTTGAGATTATGACATTTTGTCTAAATGTCAGTATTATCGAAAAGATTTGTTATTCTATTGAGCTAAAGATTTTTTTTAAAGATTTATTTATTTATTTTGGAGAGAGAGTGAGCGAGCATGGGTTGGGGGGCAGAGTGAGAGGGAGAGAGAGAAACTCAAGCTGACTCTGTGCCGAGTGTGGAGCTGTATGCAGGGCTTGATCTCATGACCTTGAGATCATGCATGACCTGAGCCAAAATCAAGATTCCGACGCTTAACCAACTGAGCCACCCAGGTGCCCCATGAACTAAAGTTTTCTAAACCAAGTATAGTATCTGCTTTCTGTTGCCTTCTATTAGGCAAAAGCATTATTTGTAAATGTTGAATGAAAAATGAGATATTGACCTAAAGTAAACATTAGCATGACAGAGAACTATTTAGCATTAGGTATAACTGTGACTTTCTTGTCATATATTGAACTGAAAGGAGGTCATTGTTGCTGGAGTGAAGTGAGCCAAGGGAGTGAATAGTCGCAGATGTCGGAGGTGGGGAGTTTAAGGCCTTGTGGCTCATGTGCACTTTGACTTTCACTCATAATATGTGAGGCCATTTGAGGGTTTTGAACAGAGCAGTGACATGATCTGACTTACTCTAAAGATTCTTGTGTGGAAACAGACTGAAGGTGTAGGTGAGTATGGATCCATAGGGATACGGAAGTATGGTCTCTGTGCAGGCTTGCACATCAGTTTCACTAGCAAATTTGTTTCTGTGCGGAGACCACTCTGTCTTAATTTCTTTTTATTTTATTTTGATAATCTCTGCACCCAACGTGGGCCTCAAAATCACAACCCCAAGATCAAGAGTCGCATGCTCTACTACTAAGCCAGCCAGGTACCCCATCCTGTCTTAATTTCTGTAATTCAGTGTTAAGCCTTAATATATTTGGTAGAACATCCTACCAGATCTTACCCTCAAGGTCGAGTCTTCCTACTTTTCATATTAGGAGGGTGTTGGCAGTATTTGGAACTCTGTTCTTCTATATATATTTTAGAATCAGCTTGTCTTAATTCCTCAGAAAGCCTTGTTGGGATTTTGATTGGAATCAAATTGACTGTATAGATTAATATGGAGAGAATTGTCATCTTTATAGTATTGAGTCTTCCAGTCTTAAAGCTGAGATAATTCTGTTTATTTAGGTCTTCTTGGATGCCTTTGAATAGAGTTATATTTGAATAGAGGTTTTGAACATTTTTTGTTATGCTAAATCTTTAGTGCCTCTTTTGTTATAAATGTGCTTTTAAAAATTACATTTTCACGGGGCGCCTGGGTGGCTCAGTGGGTTAAGCCGCTGCCTTCGGCTCAGGTCATGGTCTCAGGGTCCTGGGATCGAGTCCCGCATCGGGCTCTCTGCTCAGCAGGGAGCCTGCTTCCCTCCCTCTCTCTCTGCCTGCCTCTCTGTCTACTTGTGATCTCTCTCTGTCAAAGAAATAAAATCTTTAAAAAAAAAAAAAAAAAAAAAAAAAATTACATTTTCTGTTTATTGATGTTTACATCAATGTTATATATACAGTTGTTATTTTATATTAAGTATATTAAGTTTATATTCAACTACTTTGTTAACATTTATAATCTGAGTAATTTGTAAATTTCTTTGAATTTTTAATCTAGGCAATATTATCTGTTAATTCTGTTTTGCTTCTCTTTCCAATCCAATATGTTATATTCATTTTTTCTTATTTTACTGAGATGACTAAAACTCATTAGGATAATGTTTAATAATAGTGTTAATAATTAACAGTAGGACTTCTGTCATATTCTTAATTTTTAAAGGGACTATAATGTTTTGCCTTTATGAATGATCTTTATTGTACATTTTTGTCAGATACTTCTATCATGCTATAAACATTTCAAAACATTTAATTATGGGCATACTTCTCTTAAGAAAGCTTGTACCAGTTTGTATTTGCATCAGCATATGAAAAGGCATGCTTTAAGTCAGTACTTTTCTATACTACATGGGTACTCTTATTTTTAAAAAGCTTCAAATTTCATAGGCAGCAAAGAATTTATTGGTTTTGATTTATTTCTTCCTTTTAAACGAATATTTTATGTTGGTACAGCTGTGATTTTTCATAAAGATAGGATAGTTTTTTTTGAAGCAAAATAACTTATTTTTAAATAATTTCAGATTTAGAGAAGAGTTGCATGGATAGTACAGAGTTTCCTGTTTCATAGACCCTTGACCCAGATTCCCCACATGTTAACATTTTATTCATTCTTTGTTTCTTCTTCTATACACATGTACTTATTATTTTTTTCCTGAATGGTTTAAGCTGCAAACTTTATCTCCAAAAATGTTGGTGTTTATTCTTTTTTTGTTTGTTAAATTTTTTATTAGACTGTCTTATTCTAGAGATTCTGGGCTGCACCTTATTCATCAATTGAACTGTTATTGACATGTAACATATTAGTTTCAAGTCTACAACATAGTGATTCGATATTTGTATATATTGTGAAATGATCACAGTAAGTCTAGTTAACATTCATCACTACACAGTTACCAATTTTTATTGCTTATGATGAGAACTTTGAAGATCAACTCTCTTAACAACTTTCAAATATATTAATATTATTAACTACAGTCACATGTACATCACTCATAAAAATTTTAATAAAAAAATATTTTTTTGTCCTGGTTTAATCCAGTCCAGGATCATACATTGTATTTAGTTAACATGTCTCCTAATCTTCTTTTGTGGAACAGTTACTTGGTTCCTTGTCCTTTATAATCTAGACATTTTTAAAGAATACAGGTCAGTTACTTAGTAGAATGTCCCTCAGTTCGGGCTTGTCTGTTTTACCTTTTTGGAAGGACTGCCACAGAAGTGATGTGTTGTATCCTATCAGGAGGTTTATGATGTTGACTTGTTCTATTATTGACGATGTTAGCTTTGATCACTTAATTAAGGTGGTATCTGGCAGGATTCTTCACTATGAAATTACTATTTTTCCCTTTTTAATTCGCGGGTATTTTGTAGTGGAGCTACTTTGAGACTAGATAATATCCTGTTTTCCATCAAACTTTGAACCACTAGTTTCAGCGTATGTTGATGATACTTGCCTGAAATAATTATTACCAGGGTGTTTGCCAAATGGTGATTTTCTAATTCCATCACTACATTTATTATTTGGAATTACACTCTCAGAAAGAGCTTTTCCTTCTCCCCTCAGTTATTTATGTAAGTAAGGACTAGTATGCTTTTATTTTATTATGTGGTTTATCATCTACGATTTTCATTTATTTTGTTGTTTAGTTGTTTCTCATTCGACCAGAAGTAACTCAAGCTGATCACCTCTGTCCTTCCGACACACTCCTGTCATTCTTTGAGCATTACCAGCCTTTCCGGCACCACAGAAGTATATCCTGGGCACATATTGTACTTTTCCTTGCTCTTGCCTGGGAATCAGCCATTTCTCTGAGGAAACTGATACCTTTTTTTGGTGCACTAGCTGTGGTAATGGGATACTGGAGTGTCATTGCTCCTAGGTCTCCTCAGCAGACAGAGCTAGGGAATATATATATGGGTGTATGTATATTTACACACATTTATATGTTTCTGCATCCCTATATTAAGAACCGAGCTCCTATGGTTAGCTCTGATTCCAAGCCTTCATCCTTTTTCATATTTGTAACTTATTTTTACGAGAATAAGAAGCCAAACTCTTATTATCCACAATGTATTTATTTTTATTTGCTCAGTGTGAGAATGCACATAATTTCATATCTCTGTGTAAAAACAAGTATCTAAGTGTGGTATTTGTTTATAGATAATTTTTTTTGTTTTTAGCTTGAGAGAGTATGTAGTTAAAACATTGTTTTCAAAAGTTACCTGGAGTTAATTCCCACCCTCCCCTTTGGGGTGATGGTTATGTTATTCATTTCAAATACAATTAGGTACATTTGTTTTTGTTCCATTTTGGGTTCTTCTCTCTTATTATCATTTTTTTCTTTTCTTTCTTTTTTTTTAGTTTATGAAACATTAACATGATTTTTAAAAAACTGTACAAAACAGTAGTATAGATTATTAGAGTGCTGAATATAAAACTTAGGACTTTTGTGTTTTCTCTTTCAGGGAATAATTTAATTCTTCACATTAGAACAAATATGTGAAAGTCCCTGCCAACCTGTGAGAATTTCTTCCTTTGACATTTTGATTCTACTTTACAACGTTCTCTGAAGTTCTTTCTTGATGCCATGTTCTGTGGCTTGCATCAAAAGAGGAGTTTGTCTTCATGAAGATTCCTAACATTGGTAATGTGATGAATAAATTTGAGATCCTTGGGGTTGTAGGTGAAGGTAAGTTTAGCATTCCTTGAGTTTCTGAGTAATGTATATAGTTATACCTCCTACTGAAAAAGTTACAATTCAGATCCTATTAATTTTACCTATATTAATTCAGATATGTGCTTAACTGAAATACTAAAAATAAAATCGTGCTATTTGGGTTTTATTCAATTTAAAGTTAATATTTTAAAACCCTTTAAAATTTAATAAATCAGGGGGCGCCTGGATGGCTCAGTGGGTTAAGCCGCTGCCTTCGGCTCAGGTCATGATCCCAGGTCCTGGGTTCAAGCCCTGCATCGGGCTTTCTGCTCAGCGGGGAGCCTGCTTCCTCCTCTCTCTCTGCCTGCCTCTCTGCCTGCTTGTGATTTCTCTCTGTCAAATAAATAAATAAAATCTTAAAAAAAAATTTAATAAATCAGATATTTCTTAAGTCTGCCTTCATTTCTTTTTTCTTTTTTTTTTAAAGATTTTATTTTTTTAATGTGATCTCTGCACTGAAGGTGGGGTTCAAACTCATAAGCCCAAGGTCAAGAGTTGCATACTTTTCTGATGAGCCAGCCAGGTTCCCCAGGGCTGCCTTCATTTCATTGTTTTCATCAGCGATTGGGGTTTCTTAGTCTATAATTTTTTGTTACATTTTATTTTTATATCAAGTTTATTTTGGATAACTTAAAATTTATTTGTATAAATTAAATTTCACTTAATACATGGTAAATAAGTGAATAACTTCTCTTTGAGAATGACAAACCACATTTTTATAAATGTTGAAGCACACAACTTGGTTATATTTTAACATTTCTGAAATCAGGATGTGCGTTATAATCCATAGCATGTCATGGTTCAATTGGCAGATCTTTTTCCCCCCAGTAGTACATGAACTAAGGCTTATGATTAACGATATCATTAATTTGATGAAATATGGTCATCCATTTTCATAAGTCATCCTGATTTTCTGTCTGTCTGTTTTGTTTTTTTTTTTTTAGGATTTTATTTATTAGAGCTGGAGAGAGCCCAGGTGGGGTGGGGGAGGGGCGGAGAGAGAAAGAGAAATCAACTCCCCACTGAGCAGGGAGCCCTATGCCTGGGACTCGATCCCAGGACCCTGGGATCATGACTTGAGCAAAGGCAGATGCTTAACCCACTGAGCCACCCAGCCACCCCCTTGATTTTTCCTTCTTAGTAATTTTTGCTTTTGACTTAAAGATAACTTTATGGAGATTTTGAGAAATGATTTTGTTAACAGTGTGTGAGTGATTATAATTATGGTTTTTTAACCTTTTTTTTTTTTTTTTTTTTTTTTTTTTTTGGAGGGGGAAGGGAAGAGGGGCAGAGGGAGAGGGAGAGAGAGAATCTTAAGCAGGCTTCACACCCAGCCTGGAGCCCAGTGTGGGCCTTGATCTCACAAACCTGAGATCATGACCTGAGCCAAAATCAAGAGTCAGAGGCATATCTGACTGAGCCACCTAGGAGCCCCTAGCATTTATGACTTTAAAGCAAGTGTTATAAAAATTTTTATTTTATGAATTTTCAAATAAATGTGAATTTTAAAAAGTTTTGAAGATTTACCTGTGAACAGCAAAGCTGTTAATAGATTTTAATATTAAGTAGTTAAACCCTTTTCGAATAAATAGAAACAATTAAAATGGAGTCTGGGGTGACTGGGCTGTGTAGTTGGTTAAGTGCCTGATTCTGGTTTTGGCTCAGGGTTGTGAGATTGTGCCCTGTGCTGGGCATGGAGTCTCCTTGGGATTCTCTCTCCCTTTCCCTCTGTGTGTAACACCCCCCCGCTCCCCCTCCCCCATATTCTTGTTCTCTCTCTCTCTCTAATAAATAAATAAATCTTAAAAACAAATAGAGTCTAATTATTGGGTACTTGCTTTAAGATCTGAAGTTGAAACCATATAAAAAGAATGGATCCTTCTTCCTGTACCAGTCAACTCCTTTTCCTTTTCTTCATTGATAATTATGTAAATAAAATTCATTGTTTTTGTTTTAGTAATTTCTTTTTTAAAAGATTTTATTTATTTATTTATTAGAGAGAGAGAGAAAGAACACAGAGGGAGAGTGAGAGGGAGAAGCAGACTCTCTGCTGAACAGAGTCTGATGTGGGGCTCAAACCTGAACTGAAGGCAGATGCTTAACTGACTTAGCCACCCTGGCACCCCAGTAAAATTCATTCTTGATGTCTTGTCTACTGTATTATATAGCTACCTTTTTTGTATGTTTTTTTCCAAAGTGTTATAATTAGAAACTAATGCAGTAAAGCTACTGACTGGAGCCAGTCAGCTCATAGGGTGTAACAAGGTTGGAATGTTTCAAATTCTGGGCCCCAGTTTTTCTGGATCACAACCTTGGTTTTCTTAGTATACCTGTAGGTGATCATCTCCTTAGGAATTAGCTCAGATTAACTAAACTACTACACTGTTCTATAAATCAGTGTATGTCAGTTTTAGTTACAGTCAGAACCATCATTGCTATATATTTTTTCTTTGTAAACCACCTTAGATGCTTTTTGGCTAAGAAATACATACATATTATGGAAATTAAAAACTGTCTAGTAAACTCTGCATTCCTGTAGCCTGGGCAGTGTATTTTTGCTCTGTAGAAAAACTGGCATGACCAGTTAAATCGGGACTGAAGGATTGCCTGGTGATGATTGTGAAAATAAGTTGGACAGTTGTAGTAGCTGATTCCATCCTGACTATGATTAATAAGATTCATCCATCTCCACCAAAGTGAGGGAGACTTGTTCCAGGTCTTCGGATTCTGTTTGAGACACATTTCCCAATTTCATCTGTCTGAAGTTTGCTTGTCATAGATGTATGCAGACCTTGCCTGTCAATGTTCTTGACATTTCTACAAACCTCAAGTTAACATACATTACATTTAATTTTGCTAATTAGGTTGTCACAATATGACTCTAACCTCAGTTTCCTGGGTATCTTGCTGTCAACTCTGTTCTGCCTCTAAAGAAGTAGTTTTCTGGCTAGGGAAGAGGATTAGTAACCCAGACTGTATTGATGAATGTCATCAGAGTATACCAAGGAAAGTGGAAGTGCTTGGTTATAATTGGCCAGAGAGCCTTGGACTACTTATGGTCTGTGCCCTTGCTTGTACTGAGATTTTATGGCAAAAATGTAGCAACTCCTACAGGTTACTAAATTGGAATGCTTAGGCCTATATTATTTTGCCTGTCAGGAAAGAGATTCCTGTATTCTGGAAGAGGTCTTAAATGTCTCCTAGGAGTGAGAACATACTTGGTAGGCTTGGTACCTGAGCTTACTATTGGGAGACAATTAGCTTTTAAATTTTAAGTTTTCTACAATCTTTTGAGTTTTTTTTTTTTTTTTTTTCATTTACTCTTAAAGTTCTTATGTCCAAATCTTATCTCCAGTAGTTTTAAGCTTAAATTTTAAATCTTTCAAGTGACGTTTTCACTAAAAAGAGAAACATTTAAAGATACTTGTTGGGTAAATGAGTTGCTTATATTCATTTTATGAAAAATATATACTAATATCCACATTTTGTTTATGTGTGGCTCATTGCATTGTCACTGGAGAGTATTGTCATTTTAGGAATCATTATTATATCATACACTGATAACCAATATAATAGAACTTATATTTCTCTAAGAGCTATAATTTGTATATGTGCCCCTAATTTTTTATTTCTTTTTGTTGTAGGAGCCTATGGAGTTGTACTTAAATGCAGACACAAGGCAAGTACATGGTTTTTAACAAGAAAATAATGTATCTGTTTAACTGCTTAGAAACGAATGTATTGCTTTGTGTATGTGGGCATATAATTAAAACTGTTTGGCTATGATAATGATGCTTAATAAAGTAGATTGAACATGTGAACCCAGAAAAAGACTACTTTTGGACAAGCTTTCTCATGATTAGGTAGTCATTAGTTATTTGAAATCATATGCTGTTTTTTCTCAGTTGACCTATGTTTATAGGTGAAAAGCTTCCTAATGGGAAGAGAGAAAAGATGATATAGAAGAAATCAAGGTAGTGACAGATTTATGTTCAAGTTACTTATGAGAAAGGAGTTTCATTCAGTCATTATTTTTCACATAGACCCAATAACTTACAATCTTTGGTAGATCTGAATCCACATTTTGAAAGGTAGTGGATAGGTGTTTGGTTATGAAATAGGGCTTCAGATAATAGTGTATGATTATCATTATTGGTTGTAGTTGATCACCCTTGAGTAGCTTTGAAATTGATCTTACTATATAGATTATTTGACTATTATACTAATCACTAGTTATTCAGGGAAGTTCTTTCAGGATTCCCATAGCTGTTGCTCAGTGATAAGCATGTTTGACTCAGGGACTAACTTTAAGGTGGCAAGTATTGCAGCTGTAACAGTTTTAAATGTTAGGTTAAATATTTACTTGTTATGGTATATTTAGTCTGAGTATTAGTATCTGGCCTCATGCTATTTTGTTTATAATTTTGTTAAGACCAAAGGTTAAAGTTTTTTGTGATATTTTCTAATGGAATTCCTTATGTCTGAAAGGAGTTTAAAAATTTAGCCCAGGTCATAATTTAAACTCTCAAATCTATCATAACATATATGTGTGTGTACATACGCATAAATAAAGAAGATACCATTTTTATGTTTATTTTTTCTTTCCTGCTGTACAAAATAGTATGTTTTAGATATAAGGTTTCATGACAGTTGATGTATTTTTGGGTTTTAGATCATAATTTTCTTAATTCAATGAATTTCCTGTTAAAATTGGGTGTTCAAAGTATCTTATGTTGGTAATAGTTCTCTGAAGATCTTGGCTGGTAAATCCTCAAAAAATGGTTTGTATACTGTGGTTATTGATTTAAGATGATTAAGAATTTAAAAAGATAAATTAAACATACTCAAAATAAATTTAGGAACTTGAATACCTTGTTAAGAAATACTACTGCAGTTGGAAATTAAACAAATGAAAAGCTCTCTAATGAATTTCTATACTGTTAATGAGTTGCCTTGAGTTATAATAAATTTCTGAAGCTTTAAAAAAATAAAATTCCTCAGTGGATACTACTCAGGGGAAATAGGTTGTTAAATTTGACTCTTTCAAAAAACACAGCACTTCCTTTTATACCATGGCTTTGTTTATGCAGTATAATAAATGGACGCTTCAGGTCTTAATCTTTGAGTTTTAAAGTTGAAAAATTTCTGATAATAATGCAAATCTTCCAACAGTGTTCTCTCAGTCTTGTCCCACTTCTTCCTATAACTGTTTCCCTGTACTTTTTTTTTTTTTTAAACCTTATCTAAGCTCTCTTTCTGCCTTTTATGTAAAAATAAGTCTTATTAGCTGAATATATTGTTTTTATCTTTCCATGTGTCTGGCAAATATATATTTGTTACCTGTACCTGGTTCTCATAATGCACACTGTTAGTCCCGGTAAGATGGGCCTATAATAAAAGTAGATGAGAGCAGGTATCTCTGCTCTTGGGAAACCAACTCTAAATGTGAACTCTGATTCCTTGGGCAGTTTTAGTTAAAAGGATGAATAAACCATAGATTTCTTGCTCTTTTCTGGCTTATGGTCTGAAGAGGTAGAAGGTCAGATACTTGAAAAAATAACCCACGAGATTGCTGCAAATGACATTGCATCTAAAAAATATCTCTTTTTACTGCCCTTCACTAAATGAGGGACTCACAGACCAGCTCTCTAAGTATTGTTGCTTTTCCCTTTACATGCATCTGAAAAGATATTGCTGGATGGAAAATGTAAAGCATAAATTAGTGCCTACCTCAGAGTAATAATATAAAACTCTTTTTAGAATCTGCAGCTGTTTAGTCATTAGACTTGTTACAGATATATCCTCTTTTCAGCTAGAATCAGAGCTTCAGTCTTTACCGCATTATCTGAAAAGAGAATTTGATGCTTCTAAGATTTACGCTTTTGGATCAAACAAATGGATTATTATGAAATCTCATGTTATATTTAAAGATGGATATGATCCTCACTGTTGTACCCATGATATATATATTTAAAAAATCACATCTATATATTTTGCATAGCTTTTATAGACTTAATGAAATGCTTATAAAAATGTATAAATCAGGTGTGTGTGATTACGTATGTGTAGGTATGTGTGATCACTTACGCATCAATTTGATCTTTTGGATAAGGTTGGCTGTGGGTGTATATATAATTAAAGAATTCTTAGCACATTATATATTTGAGCAAGTGTGAAATAAAGTTATTGTTTTAAATCGTGTACTGTTGCAAGAAATTTAGAGGTCATGCTTATAAACAAATGTATCTTGTTTATTGTAAACACAGTGTGATATTGGGCTATTCCAGGCCAAAGACCATATTTCTTAATTTTCTGAAACAAATACTGCACAACTGAAAAAGAAAAATGTAACTATACTCCTTTTCACAGCTTCTGTTTATTGTATATATGCACATTGGCATATATATGAAAACTCTTAGCAGTAAGTGTTAAGCTACTTATGGCACCTTAGAACCAGTCACATTTGGAAGAAGTTCTGGTTTGGACATTTACTTTCCATATATGCATTGCTGGTTCTCTTTTTTTATTTGCATATCTGCTTTGAAGTTCTTATGCATATTTTACAGCATACTTTTCTTTGCAGAAGCTCAGAGAGGTCATCCTTACAACAAAGTAGGGCAAATGGAATGGAGTGACATAGGGAGATTTGATTAGAACTGGAGACAAAGCTTTGTGCAGTCTGATTGGGAGAGATTGGGGGGCAATGTTAATTGATCCTAGGACGGGGAAGTGCTGATTCATGTATTTTTTTCCCTGTGGCTATGGTTGACATATGAGAAATTTTTGTTTGTTTTGAAGTGGTAGATGACATATGACATATGCTCTTGGGATAGCTAATTATACAAAGGCATGAAGAATCCAGCATTGGGGTAGAGCCTAGAAATATTTATTTTTATTTTTATTTTTTTAAGGTTTTATTTATTTAAATTTATTTGTAAAGCAGAGAGCTCAAGCAGGGGGAGCAGGAGAGGGAAAAGTAGGCTCCCTGCTGAGCAAGGAGCCCCATGTGATGCTCCATCCCAGGACCCTGGGATCATGACCTGAGTCTAAGGCAGACGCTCAACTGACTGAGCCACCCAGGTGCCCCGAGCCTAGAAGTATTTAATAAATAATAAAATTGACTTAAATTATAGAACCAAAAATGAAGACCACTGTAGAGAGCTATTGTAGAGTACCAGGTCCCTGTAGAAGGATTAGAGATGATCCTAAGGGTTTATAGTAAACTGAAAAATCATTGCTAATATTTGTATGACTGACAAACTTACAAAGGGTTTGTAAGTTTTAGGGGAGAAATAGTGAGCTTGGCTTTTATAAAAAAAGAATAAAATGGCAGCAAAATACCAAACCTGATAATAAATACCACATATTGAGCATCTAACATATGCCAGCTAACTCTGCTAGATGTTGTCCCTTTACTACTCACAACAGCCCTACTGTTACATCCATATTACAGAGAAGAAAGCAGAGTCATTAGAGAGGTTATGTGTTAGGGCCAAGATTATGCAGCTAAGAAGTGGTGGAACCAGGCTTTATCTGATGCCAGAAATCACTAACTTGAGCATAACTATGAAATATTATGGACCTTCCACGAGGGAGTGTAGAGCAGAGTTAAGGGCATGCCTTAAATAGTCCTACTGACAGGAGTGGGAGGCAGACATCTAGAAAGCAAGGAAGAAAGATTTTTAAAAATGTACTCACCAGCAGTGTAAAAATCCATAAAAAGATCCATGATGATAGGGATTGAGGGATGAGAAGACGCATTTCATTTAATATTGTCATTTATTGATGACCCCTTTAAGTGAAGTGGTACATAGAATGCCAAATTGCAAGAGGTTAAGGAGAGAGCAGGTTGAGAAAATCCAGATTGTGCCCTTTTTCTTTTTTAAGAGTTGAGAAATTGAGAGTAGGAGGAGGAATAGATGTGATTAAATATTCACCAGTCAGGAATACCCGTATTTCCCCCCACTAAAAGGCATTCTTGGGTTATTAATCACTTATTATGCGTAATGTGTCTTTTGCTATGAGGGTTCATTTTTAGCAAGCATTATATATTTTGAATTACTGATTCCTGTTTTTCAGATTAATTTTGTTTTCTACCAAAAAGCTGAATGGTGATTTGGTCATTTTTTTTTTAAAGGTTTTATTTATTTGACGCAAAGAGTACAAGTGGGCCGAGCAGCAGGCAGAAGGGAGAGGGACAAGCAGGCTCTCCAGTGAGCAGGGAGCCCGATGTGGGGCTCGATCCCAGGACCCAGGGATCATGACCTGAGCCGAAGGCAGATGCTTAACCGACTGAGCCACCCAGGCGCCCCTGGTTTGGTTATTTTTAAAAATTAAAAAACTGAACTATTTAAAGCAAATACTTGAAGGAAAGGTCAATGAACCATCACCAGTTAAACAGATTGTTTATAGTGTACCTTCTAAAACCATACAGTTATTTTCTACTAAAACAAAATAAATGTTGTTTTAGTTTTTTCCACATTAAATGAAACAAGCCTTAAAATTTTTTTGGATTTAAGTTTTACATGTCTTTTAAGCTGTTTTAAAAGCTCAATTCAAATGACAAACTGAATATATGGGATTAATTATTTTTTGTCATTACTTTCCTCCTTATTTAAATATAAGTAGGATGTGGATTCCTGCTTCTTCTGTACAAAATTTCTACCATTTAGGGATGCC